TTCTTAATCTGCATGTCACCATGTGATTTGTTCCTTCCATCCATACCAGCTCACGATTGCCAATGGTAGTTCTTTCATTATTGCTGATTACATGTGCATGACCACAGGCATGTCAGTCGCCTCTTCAACGCCACAGGGGAGATACCCAGAGAGCTTCAATACCTGACTGCCCTCACTGCACTGTAAGCTCTACTCTACTCAAGTCCGATGGGACAGGTGAAGCGGATTGGTTGGTGTGCACGAGTAACACATCCCCATCTCCATCTCCATCCCCATCTCCATCCCCATCCCCATCCCCATCCCCATCCTCATCCCCATCCCCATCCCTATCCCCATTCCCATCCCCATCCCCATCCCCATCCCCTCGCCGGACATGACTGCAGCTCCATTGGCTTGTCTACGTGACGTGCTCTGCTCCTGCTTTCCTCCCTGCTGCAGGGATCTATCCAACCTTCAATTTGTGGAGTTCCCCATTTGGGTCACTCGACTCACCAACCTTCAGTATCTGTGAGCTCCAGGGTTTAGGGTTTCGGGTTCTTCCTACTTCACCCTCCTACTTCACCCTCCTACTTCACTCTCGAACTCCACCATTGTCACACACGAACACCGCCGTTTGCCGAACCGAACACTGTTCGGTTCGGCGAACACTTTGAGCAAAAAATGGTGTTCGCCGTTCGCCTGTGAAGGCGTGTTCGAGCGAACCTCGAACACGTTCGTGTTCGTCGCGGGGCAAATTGCAGCAGCGGCTCGAACACGAACGTGTTCGGGCGAACATCGAACACTGTTCGGCGAACAATTTAAGCCAAAAAAAAAACACGTTCGAGGCGAACCGAACAGGTGTCCGTTTTTTTGCTCAACCCTAGTTGTCACACACACGCCACATCCCCATTGTCACACCACGCCACATCCCCATTGCCACACACACGCCACATCCCCCACGACACGAGGCACGGGGATGACCACGCGTGCCATGGCAATGGCTGTGATTGGGCTGCTCTGAGTGCGCTGGATCTCGCCGGCATCTTCTTGTGCGCAGGAACGTGTATTCAAACTATCCACACCGGCAGGGGCGATTGCTGAATGCTGACCTCTCTCAGCTCACAGCACTCACCTTCCTGTGAGTTTAGTGTGGCTTTAGATTGGTGAGGATCCTTAGCATCAGCTCTTCAGGAATCGGGTTTCTTTCTTACTCGTTGAAAGCTAGTACGGCTAGGGTGTTGGGAAAGCAGCTAGGGTGCTGGGAAAGAGCTAGGGTGTTGGGAAAGCTGTTAGGGTGTTGGGAAAGCTGTTAGGGTGTCGGGAAAGCTGTTAGGGTGTTGGGAAAGCTGTTAGGGTGTTGGGAAAGCTGTTAGGGTGTTGGGAATTTCTTCTATAGGATGTTGGGAATTTCTTCGTTGAAAGCTAGGGTGTTGGGAAAGCAGCTAGGGTGTTGGGCAAGGTTGAAAATTTCGCTAGGCGAAACTTTCGCTTCGAAAGTTTCGCCCGAAAATTTCGCTCGTATTTTCAATATTTCAGCGAAATTTTGTTAGGACACAAGGAAAAATAAAAAAACCAAAAAAGGGCGAGGCGAGGGCCAGAAACATTGTCGTGACTCCAGTATCCACTTTAAGCGCATAGGACAGGGAGAACTAGGCAGGTTGCCCTGATGCAGTAGCCTGAAGTTGAGAGATAAGCGTAATCAAGTGATAAGACTAAGGGCACTACCAACTAAGCTCGACGAATTCGCGACGAGCCCTAGCTTATCAATGCTGGAAATTGGCTTTCCCGCAGCATGAGATCGTCGCGTTTTGTGCATCCAACCTATTTCTATCTCTAAACCGCGTATTACCGCTCTGGATCTAGGAAACCCAACCCACCCAATTTTACGTTTGGGCTGAGGGGGCCTTTCCCAATTATATACACACGGGTGACGTCATCACATGCCGCCCCGCCCGCCCTGGCAAATTCGAAATTCGGGCCAAAACGAAAAACCCGCGGAATCCCTCCGGGCCCCCGAAATTCCCCGGCTGACCAGGCAAAAAAAACCCGCCGAAACCCGCGGGTTCAATGTCGTATTCTTATGCCCATATATATGTCGGCCGTACTGTTGCAATTTCGGGGACATTTGTCGAACAGTGCTCGACGGACATTGGCCAATCGCCGTCGAGCACCGTGCACCCCCGACAACACTGGTTACACCCGGTGGCAAGTCGCCAGGGAATCGCCTACACGGTGGCGTCGACGGTCGACGGTTGCGAAACGTGTTTCGCAACCGGCCGACGGTCGCAATCGACGGAGACGTCAACTGCGGCCGACCTGTCGCCTCGTCGGTCGAGCGAACTGTCGCTGTCTGGTGGGTCACATCAGTCGCATTCAAACGGTCACGTCAACTGCTGACTGCCACGTCAAATGTCTCAGTCTCCACGGGGAGCAACATCAGCCCAATGTCGCTGTATAAACCTGAATTCATAGTATAAGCACCGCTTTCTCCTCAGCACGCCAGGATCTAGGGACAACTGGTAGTTTTCGGTGGGCACTGATGGAGACCGATCCGTCGACGACAGCGCCTTCCCGGGAGGCGGACGTAGGACGCACACCTGTCGAATTGGAGTCCACATCGACACCACCCCCTTCGTCGTTTGGAGACAGGCCTGTTTCTTCCGCGCCCCCTTCGACGACGCGTGCCATACCGGAGGTGGCAGCGCCCACCTCGACGTCGCGAGCCATACCGGTAGTAATACAGCCGGTTGTTACGGACCAGCGTTCGACGGGTATTCCGGTCACTGTTGAAGTGGGTGGTGCACAGACCGAATTCCCTTCGACAGGTCAATCCATACCTGTTGTCGTAGAACCCATCTCGACAACAAATGCCCCCTTTACACACGAGGCTCCAGCTCACCGTGCACCATCGTCGACAGCCCACCGATCGACGGAACCTTCGGCTGGTGCACCGACCTCGACAGGTGGGCGACGTAGGAGAGCGAGGGCTGTTCCGCCTGAGGTTCGCCAACCACCCCCAGCCCGCACATCCACTTCGACGAGACCAAGCAGAGAGGACTTAGCCAGGAACGTCCCTGAAGCGACGGACGATGAGGATGTTTGGACGGGAGAAGAGCAGGAGGCGGACGATGTCGAACCGCCGGACCCTTTGTGCCCTGCTGCGGCAAATATATCAGAGGAGGATGCCGCGCACATTCTCGGCGACCAGCCGGGCGCAGACAATCCGTACTTGGCGACCGGAACACTTAAAAGCAGGATTCTCCGGTGTGAGGTTCCGCTGCTGGGAGTTGACCAGGATTCCACACGGCCGAACTATGTCTCTGGAAGCATGCACTACAAAGCTTGGGCCTGTAAAATTCTGGCACCCGAGAGAAGCAACGGAGTGCCTAAAGAGGAGCAGGTGATCTACGAGGACGAGATCGGTAGGGAGATCGGCGACGATATGGGGCCGAGATGGAGAGAGGCGCTGCGTAACGAGGAGCACCTGCATGGGCCGAAAATAACGAAATGGCGCTTGCGCGCGTACGTCGAATACATGTCGACTGAAACCGACCAACAGGCGGCATCGTTGGACACAGGCCGGTCCAGAGTCGCTGGAAGGAAGGCGAAAAAAAGCACCCCTCCGATGATGCTGGCGCGCCTTACTGCGCTGACGTGCTTCTGCAGAGTAGAGGCCATACTCTTCGACGAGCCACTCACGAAACCCTTGGACGACATCACCGAGGCCCGGCAGCTTCTTGCGGTCAAGCTGCGGCAGCTGCACGACTTTCAGTTCGAGTAAGTAGGCTGCCATACACCGGAATCTAAAACTTTTCACTCAAATTCTCACCCAACTACTTGCTGTATCTGCCCACCCAATGCAGGCAGTGCGTCGATCCACACCGGGGCTCGCTCGACGATGTTTACACGGAGGAGCAGTTCCGCATTCTCGTTTCAGACATCCTGCCGTACTGGGCCAAGGAGTACTTTCGGGAGTCGATGAGTTTCCCCAATCAGTCGCTGTGGAGGGCCTTGGCCGTCAGGGTGATGATCCTGATGGCGCATCACATGCTGGGCAGGGGGATAAGCATCCGCGAGATCCGCTACTGCAATATGTTCACTCACGTCCTTCCGCCCATCACGAACAGCAAGGGGGAATCGTCGATCCACGTTCTCGTGGTCGCCTATCGCAACTCGAAGACCATCAAAGACAACAAGCTCGGCCACCTGTACCTGACTCGACACATGGACTTCCGGCAGTGCGGCTTCGGAGCAGTGTTCATGTGGATACATTTCATTCTCGACCTTGTGCCGCTCTACTACAACAACGATAAGATCGTGCCCCCCTTGGATTTCAGCAACCCGGAAAACTGGTCAAAGAAGCACCTGTTCTTCGCCCTCTTCGACAAGGACAAGACCGAGTTGCCGTACGCGACTCATGCCAAATAGGTTACCTGGGCGATGAAAAGCGCGGAATGGATCCTGTCGAAAGTCACACATATCTTTCGACGGTCTGCGGCACAGATCCTCGCCGACAAAAACTGTGAACTCGACAACATCGCGCAGCTGGGTCAATGGGACATGAACGAGATGCGCAGGTCATACGTCACAGGCATCCCGCGCGGGGCCATCCAGCTGCAAGCGGGTTTCACGACGGAACCCGGTGACTATTACCTTGGAAGATCGAAGAGCGAAGTACCCGCTAAGGTCCTGAAGGCTATCGAGGAGCACATATTTCCAAAGGCGGAGCAGTGGCTCGACGAGGTATGGATGCGTCGAGCGCTTAGCGTGATCATCGAATGCAAGTTTTTGCATTCGATCTATCTCTCAATGTCACCAAGTTTGTTCTTGTTCAGGCGATGGAATGGAACAACGAGCAGGACAAGGAGCATATGTTCTTCGCAGCGAAAAGTTTCTTGAAGGCCCTGCAAGCCGCCCGAATGCCCATCGCCGAGGATCTTGCGATGTACTACGTCCATTGTGACGACCACCCCTTCGACGGAGTGACTGTTTGCGACTGCGAGCGTCACCCTTATGCACAGATGTCCGGTTTGTGCAAGGATATGAATTTCCAAAAATGGGCGCTTGACGTGTACCTGCTCGACAAGTACGGCATCGAGATGCGGACCAACCCCACGCTGTCGAGAGCCTCGGTAAGATGGACCTTATAAATCTTAATCCGAACAGATTGCATCAGCCCACTTACCTACCGCTCGTGATCTTATGCGCAGGACGCATCCTTTCAACTCAACACCAAGCACCTCATCACGCAACTTCGGGCAGAGGTCAACTTACACAAGGAGGAGGGTGGGAAAAAAGAAATCAAGATCAAGGGCCTCGAGCAGAAGGTCGAGTCATTGGAGCGGGAGAAGGGCGCGATGCAAGCGGAGTTGGAGGCGAAGGCAGAATCACTCGCGCTACTGCAGAAAGCGTTCGACGCACTGAAGATTACCGCCGCGACAACCGCAGCTGCGAATGTGGGGGGGAGCGAGAGTGTGCCGCAGACGGCGACCGAAGAAACCACCCCGCCACCACAGCAACCCCCTCAATCAACGCCCACTCAACAGAGCAAGGGCAGCCAGCTCGACTAAGCATTCTTCGACGCAGTGGTGTGGCCGTGGTGCAATTGCGAGACCGTGCGGCAGGCGTGGTTGTACTGGGACGGGCCAAGCCCGCTGAACAACGGACACAGTCTTCGACACGCTTACAGGAGGGGTTTCGCCGTCAAGTTCAGCAAGTTCACTCCGACTCCTCCCACCGTTCCCCCCGTTGCGGTGGACCAGCCAAAAGAAAAGCCACCGACCCCAAAAGCTGTCGAGTCGAGATTGCGGAAGATGGAGGTTGTCATGAGGGCCGTCGAGATGTTCAGGGTCGACGACAGCAGGGCGGCTACGTCGACGATCATTGATAAGCTTGACTCAATAGTCACGAACCACTCGATCAACATGCTGGCTGAAGGGCTCGTTCTCAAAGAGGATTCGGGGAAGCAGCTCACGAAGAAGCGCAAAGTCGAGACAGCAGAAGACAACCGGAAGGACAAAGATCGCCTCAGGATCACGCGGGAGCTCATTCGCGTCGAGCTTCGAACCACGAAATGGGCCGAGAACGTGTTCAAAGACAAATGGAAAGAGTTCATGAAAACATGGGGCGAGAGCCCAAGTTCGACAGCCAATCATGACGAGGGGCGAAACTAGAGTAGGGTGTTCTTTTAGAGATTGCATGGCAGGTTCTCATTACTGACCGACCATCTCGCCTGTATGAACCTTCTGAGCATTATCGCAAACGGAAATTCAAGATCCATGCAGCATGTACATTGTGTCGATTAAACTTTGGAAACAACAAGCACAACTGTCGAGAATAGCAAACACCCCCACGCAAAGTGCCCGCCTAGACTACTCCCCTTGCCCGCCCGTTTCCGTCTCAGCTGCATCCTCGTCGCCCTGCTTCGCCTTGCTCTTTTCTTCTGGCATAGCCAGGCTGCCATAGCCCGCGTCCTCCAGCAAGCGGGCAGCAGCTCGACAGCAGCACCATTGCGTATAGACCTGTGCTGCCACGCGCAGCATCTGCAGCAGTATGGCGTCCGTCGGGCCGAGACCTTCGACAGCCGACGAATACAGGTGATCGGGCCACTGCTTCGCCGGGAACGTCTTGCCGACGTGCAAAAGTATGGACACGAGTGCGGACATGGCAGCCACACAAGCCTTCTTTGCAGTCTCCGGGGCGTAGATCGCCGCGTTTGCGGCAGCTAGGGCATCCTTCTTAATATCCTCCCTCGACAACTTCCTGCTAGCCGCCCACAAGCTCGCCACAGTTGCTGCGATGGCCATCATGTGCGGTGTCGCCGCCATGCCCTTCGGGACCGGGTAAATCAGATTCCCGTGCTTCAGGCCAAGCGTCGCGACCTTACCAATCGCCACGCACAGCGCGATTCCCCTCTCGGTTCCAGCTTTCACTTCCTTTTTTGCCGTCGCCAACAGCGACAGGTAACTGCACATCGCAAGAAATGCGTTAGCCAAGAGGCCAGAATTCGACCGACAGCACATTCACCGCAAAACAGATGGTGTTCGACAATTCACCAAAACAGCAGGAACTCGACAGCAGAGTCTAGCAACATGACTTACTCGTCGAAACGACATTCCCCTTGTTCTTGCGCCACGCTCCAAACGCCGGTTGGCATTTCTGCGGCCGCATCGAGGTAGACCTTCCAGTCCTCCTCATCCTGCGCCGTGTACCCTTCGTACTCCGTAAGGACAACGTCGGGGAAGTACACGCGCCAGCAGACGGCCGTACAGAACTTCTGGTCCTTCTCTGTTTCAAAAGTGCCAAGGAACCGCTTCCTCCCGCCGACGGTCTGCTCGAAAACCGGCTTCCCCTTCCGCAACCCGAAACCCGGTCCTTTGAACGGACGTTTGCAGCCTCTCGTCTTGCCTTGGTCGTCCGGTCGAGGAGGTGGGGTGTGACCCGTGACCCTGGCCTTCTTCGCCTTTTCCTGTCGAGCAGCAACGACAATAGAGGTCTTCTCGACAGGCGCCTGACCAGGGACGCTGGCCAGCTCCACCACGTCAAGGCTCTCTGTCGCGTGTGCAGCGCGCTTCGACGACTTCGTCGCAGCCGGCTTCTTCTTCGACGTTGAAGGGGAGCCCGGATCGCTAAGACAAACGTTGCCTAGGGACGGAGCAGCGACGACAGGAGCAACTGGAGGGTTCGAGGAAGATGCCCAATTTCCCACAAGCCCGACAGCAAGGCCAGCACCACCGCCTTGCGCACCTGATGCCGCTTTAGTCTTCGACAGCAACCCAGCGCTTGCTTCTCCCGCTCCTTTCCCCGCACCGCCGCCTGACGGGGTAGAGGCACCTCGCATTCCTACAGCTCTGTTCCCGGTCGAGGCGACGTGCTCGTTCGGGGCACCACTTTTCTCCCCCGCGACCACTGCTTTCCCACCCGTTTTCCCCAGGCCTTGCAGCATGTCCCGCATCGAAGCAAACGCATCAGGTGGATCGATCGGAGCCGCTACGGAGGTCTTCGGGCGGGGCGACTGGTCGAGTACGATGACTTCCTCGACGGGCTTGGCGACGGGATGACGGCCACGCGCCGGTGGGGATCCAACCGGGCTGCCGACATGTCCTCCCACCGAAGAAGACGGAGGAACCGACCGCTCGTGACCACGAGGCTCAGCCCCGCTGCGAACCCCTCCCACACCCTCCTGACGCGACCTCGTCGACGGGCCCGTCGAGCGCTGAAAACCTCTCGCCATCGCTTCGGTGAGGACTTCCAACCTCCCTGCTTCGGCTTCATGGTAGCCTTCCCTCACAATGTCCTTCAGCTCCTTCATGGTCTCGGGTGGGAGGGTGGAGCAGAACATGTCCTCCATGATGGCTTTCTCGAAACCCTTCAGCACCGCAGCAACCAGCCGCTCCTCGACCTGCTTGAGCTGCTTCTCGACGGCGTCCTCGCTCGCTTTTGTGATGGCGGCTGCCACCCCCTCGATGATCTTCCCGCTCATCTCGTCGATCTTCGCCCGCGCCCCTTCCAACAGGTTCCTCTCTGCCGTGACACCCTTCACAGCCTCGGCGCACTGCGACAGTGTGCTCTTCGACGACTCCGAAATCGTATTCCACGCCGTCCGAAAATCCGCAGCAAGCCTGTTGAATACTCCGGCTTGCTCAGTGTGTTTCGCAAAGACATCGGCGACGAGCTGCTTCTGCAACGCCTCGACTTTCTCGACCCTCTGCAGTACCTCGACGACCTGGCCTCCCAGTGCAACGTTCGCCGTCGATTGGCCTGCCGTCGAAGGCCACCCGGTCGAAGGGCCCGCCTGTCCGCTGCCACTAGCCGTGCGGTGACTCCTTGTTACGGCGGCCTGTCGCTCATCTCCTCGACGATACTCCTCAGCAGCCTCCCAGTCCTCCGGCTCCTGCCCTCCCGACCCACCCACCCGCGCAGCCGCAACCCTAAACGCCTGCTGCTGCACTCCTGCCCCACCCTCCTGCGCAGCCGCCACGCCCTCCTGCTGCTGCCCTCCTGCCCCGCCCTCCTGCGCAGCCGCCTCGCCCACCACCTGCCGCTGCCCTCCGACCCCACCCTCCTGAGCAGCCGCTCCGCCCTCCTGCTCCTCGACAGCCTTAGTTTCCCCTGTCGCCTGCTGCTCGATAAGCTCTACTCGCTCGTCCACCCGCTCCCCGAGCGCCACTCCGTGCTCCCCCGTACGCTCCGTTCTATGTCCGGCGCCCTCGCCGTCGTCCTCGGCCGACTCATCGCTCGAGCTCGAGCCGGAGCTCGTTCCCGAGCTTGAGTCCTCGTCCTGGTTCGCATCGCCGCCCGGGCCGCTCGCCCCGTGCTGAGCGTGCCTCGATGTATCCTCCTCGATCTCCTCCTCCTCCTCGACGCTATACTCAATCACGACGCGTCCCGTCTTCTCGCCTCCTCCCTCGTGGTCGGCACCCCCTCCCACACCTGCTCCCTCCGCCAGCTGGTCGATCTTTCTCGAAAACAGCTTGACCATGAACAACGGAAGCACACCCGGGCCAGGGTTCGTTCTCCCTAGATGCACGAGTTCGCCCTTTCGAGGCTGTAGGATGAAGTCGTCCCATTTCGTCAGAATCCGGCGCACCCCATGCACGACACGAGCTGCCGCGCCGCTTTGATAGGGGCTCGACAAGGCCGTCGTCGTCTGTGACGGGTACAAAACATACGTAAGCGACAAAACAGATGCTCGACGAAAACGCTGGTGGTCTAAGGAGAGCTTACCAGATGGTCGAAATCCTCGTTCAACTCCAGACGAAGGTCCATCACGTTCAACACTTCTTGGTCGCCCTCGGTCAGAGCCTGGTGGGTCATCGCGTACTCGGCGCGAAGCTGCTTCTTCATCCACCTGCGACGCAGCGGACAGAAGAGTAAGATTGTCGAGAACAGCAGCTCGACAGCAGGGTGGCAAAGCTGTCACTCACACGAAAACTTCTTGCGCCAGAGAAGATTGGTGGTTCATCTCGGGAAACTTGTCTTTCGAATCGAAGTGCATCATTCGAGTTCGACTGCCACGGTGCCTCGGAGCCAGCAGATCGTCGGGGCGCGATACCACAAACAGGCTCGAGTGGGAGAACGGAGGCACACTCAGTCTGCATGCAGAGCCAATGCACGTGAGAACGGGTTCAGGGCTAAAGACGGAGCACGCAAGGCGACGGGAGAGTAGGCGACGGTAGAGTGTCGAACTCACGGTGTCCGCAGCAGAACGAAAACCACTTGCTTGCCGAGGAGGCCGTCGAGGTGGTTGTTCGCAAAAGCGACCGGGGTGGGACGTGCCATCTCTTCACGCGCACGCGCCGGAGTCACGATCGACACCTTGGGGAGCTGCTCGACGGACAGCAGCTCATGACAGAACAGGCTGCACGGAAAGCTAAGGCAACGTCAGCGATTGGTAAATCCAAACATGGCAAACCGAAAATGTTCGACAGGACACGTACACGACGCCCGCGACCATCATGCTCTCGTCGAGCTCCCCTTTCGGCGCCTCTCTAATCGCATTTAGCTGGTCCTCGTACACCTCCACCTCGACCCCGCCTGCACTAAGGATGAGGCCGCGTCGAACCGTCGC